AACCTTAGTATAATCATGAGGAAATATAAGACAAACCAAATTTGAGGAACATTTGACAAAATAACTGATCTATTAATACTCTTCTGAAGTGTGAAAGTCATGAAAGGTAGGTAAAAATTGAGGAACTGTTGTAGATTGCAGGAATAAAGAGAAATAACAACTAAATAAAATGTGAGACTCTGGATAGAATCTGAGAACAAAACAAAAGACATTAGTGAAAAACCCAATGAGATTCAAATAAAGTTTTTAATTTCGAATGTTAATTTTCCGGTTCTGATCAATATACGATGATTATATAAAATGTTAGCATTAGGAGAAGCTGTGGAAGGGATATACAGAAACTGCATTATTTTTCTAACTTTTCTGTAATTCTAAAATTAGTTTAAAATTTTTTAAAATTTTAAGATGTTGGGGCCGGGCGCGGTGGCTTATGCCCGTAATCCCAACACTTTGGGGGGCTGAGGCAGTTGGATCATGAGATCAGGAGTTCGAGACCAGCCTGACCAACATGGAGAAACCCTGTCTCTACTAAAAATACAAAACTTAGCCGGGTGTGGTGGTGCGTGCCTGTAATCCCAGCTACTCAGGAGGCTGAGGCAGGAGAATCGCTGTGGTTATACCACTGCACTCCAGCCTGGGCAATGGAGCAAGACTCTGTCTCAAAAAAAAAAATAAATAAAATAAAAATAAACAGAAATAAAATTGTGTACAGTGTAACTATTAATATAAAGTTCAAAATGGGGACAAATTAAACTGTATTGTATAGGAATATGTATACTACTGGTAAAGAAAAGCAAAGAAATTATTACCATAAATGGCAAAATAATGAATCCTTCTGTGGGGAGAGGTGGAGTTATAATCAAAGACCTGGGTGGTAGTTATGTGGGTGTTTGTTTTATAAACATTAAGTAAGCTTGACATCTATTAATCTATTTTAATGCATCTTCTACGAGTATGTTATATTTCACAATAAAAATGGAGATTACTAAATTAATTACCAAAACTATTACTCAACTAATTAGAGCAATTAAGACAGTACAATATTGCAGAGACAGACAATTAGGCCAATGAAACAGAAAAAAAAGAGACACATATATGAATCACATGATGTGTATCAGATATGTCACTACAGAGACAGGCTTCTTTTCTTTTTTTTCTTTTTTTCTTTTTTTTTTAGATGAAGTCTTGCTCTGTCTCCAGGCTGGAGTGCAGTGGCACAATCCCGGCTCACTGCAACTTCCGCCCCCTGGGTTCAACCGATTCTTCTGCCTCAGCCACCTGAGTAGCTGGGACCACAGATGCGTGCCACCACGCCCGGCTAATTTTTGTATTTTTAGTAGAGACAGGGTTTCTCTATGTTGGCCAGGCTGGTCTCAAACATCTGACCTCATGATCTACCCGCCTTGGCCTCCTGAAGTGCCAGGATTACAGATGTGAGCCACTGCCCCTCCCCCCGGCCAAGACACAGGCTTTTAATGACAAATGATGTAAAACAATAGGGTCTTTACATGTAAAAAACATTTCAGACCTCTACCTCACACCATACACAAAAATCTACTCCTGGTTGATTGAAGACCTAAATGTAAAAGTTAAAAGCTAAAAAGACATTTTGGAATAACATAATTGAATATCTTTATGATCTTCAGGTAGAAAAAGAGTTCTTAAACAAGACACAAAAAGCAAAAGGAAAAGTCCAAGGGAAAAGACTGATAAATTTGAATTAAGTACAATTTAAGAACTTCTATCTATTCAAAGCCACTATAAAGTTTGAAAAGCGGCTGGGTGTGGTGGTTCATGACTGTAATCCCAGCACTTTGGGAGGCTGAGGTGGGTGCGGATTACTTGAGGTCAGAAGTTTGAGACCAGCCTGGCCAACATGGTGAAACCCTGTCTCTACTAAAAATACAAAAATTAGCCAGTCATGTTGGTGTGGACCTATAGTCCCAGCTACTCGGGAGCCTGAGGCAGGAGAATCACTTGAACCAGCAGGTGGAGGTTGCAAAGAGCCAAGATCACACCACTATACTCCAGCCTGGGAGGCAGAGCAAGATGCTATCTCAAAAAAAAAAAATAAAATAAAATAAAACAAAAAGATTGAAAAGCAAATCACAGAATGGGAGATACTTGCAACATAATACACAAAAAAGGATTTATTTATAATATACATACTCCTATAAAACCATAAAAAAATAACTAGACAATGGTGCTCAATATTATTAGTAATAAATAAAGTGGAAAATGAAATTGAAATGAGTTACCACCATACACACTAATATTAAAAATCTGGCAGTATCATGTGCTAGCATAGATGTGGATAATGGGAACTGTCATACATTGTTGGTAGGAGTATAAATTCCACAATCGTTTGAAAAAGTTTGGCATTATTCAGTAAATGCCCTAGAAGTTGTAATTCAGTCTATGTATTCTTGAGAAACTTGTAAATCTGTGTACCAGGAGACATGTACAAGAATATTCATAGTGGCTGGGTGAGGTGGTCACGCCTGTAATCCCAGCACTTTTGGGAGGCCGAGGCAGGAGGATCTCGAGGTCAAGAGATCAAGACCATCCTGGCCAACATGATAAAACCCAGTCTCTGCTAAAAATACAAAAATATTAGCTGGGCATGATGGTGTGTGCCTCTAGTCTCAGCTACTTGGGAGACTGAGGCAGGAGGATCGCTTGAACCCAGGAGGTGGAGGTTTCAGTGAGCTGAGATTGCGCCATTGCACTCCAGCCTGGCGACAGAACAAGACTCCGTCTCGCCGGGCGTGGTGGCTCAAGCCTGTAATCCCAGCACTTTGGGAGGCCGAGGCGGGTGGATCATGAGGTCAAGAGATCGAGACCATCCTGGTCAACACGGTGAAACCCCGTCTCTACTAAAAATACAAAAAATTGGCTGGGCATGGTGGCGCGTGCCTGTAATCCCAGCTACTCAGGAGGCTGAGGCAGGAGAATTGCCTGAACCCAGGAGGCGTAGGTTGCGGTGAGCCAAGATTGCGCCATTGCACTCCAGCCTGGGTAACAAGAGCAAAACTCCGTCCCAAAAAAAAAAAAAAAAAAAAAAAAAAAGACTCCGTCTCAAAAAACAAAACAAACAAACAAACAAGCAAAAATACTCATAGCAATATTGTTCCTAATAGCCCCAAACTGGAAACAAAGACAGGATACCATGAACCCTGGAGACAAAGAGAATGGGGAGGTAGAAACCTTGGATTCTGATGGCTTTTGAATTCTGGTTCCAGTCTTTGATGAGGTCTAACTGCCCTTTGTACCCTTTTAAATAAATTTCCTATTTTGCTTAAGGTAATTTGAGTAGGTTTTCTCTTTCTTGCAATCAGTAGAGCCTTGCCTAGAGAAAAAAAAAATGTGGTGAAAAAATTCTACAGATTACAAGGGACCTAAGAGACATATTAACCAACATGAGGACAATATTTGGGTCCTAATTTAAACACACAGATTGTAAAACAAAGCACAACATGTAACAGCAAATAATTTTTTAAAGACCACCCCAAAACTCACCATACCTCTGGTTCAAGGTCTTTTGTGAGATGGCAGTTTATCTCAGAGCTCTGCTGAGGCTGGAGGATCTGCTTCCAGGCTCACTCATGTAGCTGTTGGCAGGCCTGAGTTCCTCCTCATTTTGGCTTCTCCGTATTCATAACCTGGCAGCTGGCAGGACCGACTATATGTGTTGGGCCCAATACAAAATAAAAACACAGGGCCCTTAGTTCAAAAATTATTCAGAATTTCAAGACAGCGACAGCAAAGCATTAAACCAAGGGCAGAGTCCTTCTAAGCCCAGGACTCTGTCTTGACTATATAGATTACAAAACCTTTGAAGTTAGTGACCTGACTTCAGGTAGGTAGTGACCTGAATGAGAGAAAAACCAAGATGGAAACCAAAGTTTTTTTGCAACCAAATCTCAGAAGTGTCATCCAATCATTTTTGTTATAGTCTACTACTTAGAAACGAGTTAGGATACAACAAAGCCACAGCTCATATGAAGAAAAAAAAAAAAGAAAGAAACAAGTTAGTAAGTTGGTTCCACACTTAAGGGGGAGGAAGTTGTACAAGGGCAAGAACACCAATTGGCCATTGTGGATCATCTTAGAGACCCTCTACAACAACAATCGTTTGTGAGATAATCAGGGAAATTTGAACGCTGAGTGGATAATGATGCTATCACAGTTAAATTAGAAGAGTATTATCATTTAGAGACACGTACCAAAATATCCACAGATTAAATAATCAAATGCCTTGGATTTCCTTCAAAGTAATATAGGGTGGGAGAGGAGTGGAGACATGGATTGGTTATGGGTTGACCATTGTTGAAGTGGATGATGGATATATATGGAATTCATTATAGTCTATTTTTGTATATGCTTGAAATGTCTTATAAAAAGGAGCCTTGCTTATCTAAGACAATAAATCGGCTCACTAAATTCATAACTGAATTTAGATGAGCATATTGGTATGATGTAAATTGAGGACAGACCCTTAGGGAAGGAAGTATGGGCTTGAAACATCAAAAGGATGACACTATGCCTGTGAGTCCATTCGCTTCAAAATTTCCAAATTCACATGGTGCTTCTTAGAAAAGAAAGTAAGTACTAAAGAAGGAGCTGAAGGAAGAGGTTGGAGTGATTGGGCTATTGAAGAGAACCAACACAAACCAACTTCAAGTCAGTGAAGTGTGATTCTTGCCTTGCTCTCCAGTTTTATCTTCAGCCCTGGAGAATTCCCAGGGCCTTCTTGTGCTAGACTAGGAATAAGGATGGTGCTGCTTTTGATCTCTTGGAATTAGCGGTCTTATTGCTCTGGTATTTGCTTCACATGTTTAACATGAAGACCCTGCAGTGAAAGATGCTTGAGCCTATGATATTGAATTGAAATGTAAAAGCATGTGGCAAAATAGGAAGATAAGCTAGGAATCAAAGACAATAAAAAGTACTAGTGAAGGACTCTATGTTTAGAAATGCAATTACCACACTCGGACAGCTATACACATGGATCGTTTTTATTTTAAATGTTCTTTACAGTTTTTATTTAAGGTGACTTTTAAAGCCAAGCTACTTTTTCTTAAATTATCTTGCTTTTCAGGCCTGACACTTAGTTTGCTGGCAAGGCAACTGATTCCTCCTCTCAACATCGCTTATGCAGCTTTCTGTTCTTCGGTAATTTATGTAATTTTGGGATCATGTCATCAAATGTCCATTGGTGAGTTCAACACTGAAATACACATGCGGTAAACGAAGTTTCTATCCTGATCATATACTTATTGCTAAGGAACCCAACGTAATGCTATCTTTAAGACAGAAAGAAAGGAAGCAGAAGATAGACATTCTATCCATACAGTGTTCAGATTATAGAAATAAATATTTCTAGTGTATCATTATTATTGTCACCACCAGAAAACAGGCCAGCAAAATGTTTCCCAAAGAAATTAAAGGGGGCCAGGTGCAGTGGCTCACGCCTGTAATCCCAGCACTTTGGGAGGCCGAGGTGGGCAGATCAAGAGGTCAGGAGTTTGAGACCAGTCTGGTCAACATGGCAAAACCCCATCTCTACTAAAAATACAAAAATTAGCTGTGTTTGGTGGCACACACCTGTAATCCCAGCTACTTGGGAGGCTGAGGCAGGAGAATTGCTTGAACCCAGGAGGTAGAGGGTGCAGTGAGCCAAGATCACTCCACTGCACTCCAGCCTGGGCAATAGAGCAAGACTCAGTCTCAAAAAAAAAAAAAAAAAAAGAAAGAAAGAAAGAAAAGAAAAAGAAATTAAAGGGCAGAGGTACCTTCCCTGAGAAATCACCACACATTGGAATCTGACTTCCCTCAACCCAGAAGATCCAAAAATGTTTGTGTCAATACTCCTAGAGTAGATGCTTCTTTCATCTGACCCATAATAACCAAACTCCATGGGCTGACTTGTCATACAGCGTGCCAGCTTATCAATTTACAGTGAGAAAATGTTGTCACAGCAATGAAAACACTGACATCCACAGGATGAGTACTTCCCTTCTCTGAGTCAAAAGTCCACCTACTAATTTATAATTAGAAATAACTGGCCGGGCGCAGCGGCTCATGCCTGTAATCCCGGCACTTTGGGAAGGCCAACACAGGTGGATCACGAGGTCAAGAGATCTAAACCATCCTGGCCAACATGGTGAAACCCTGTCTCTACTAAAAATATTATAAAAAATTAGATGGGCATGGTGGTGCACACCTGTAATCCCAGCTACTTGGGAAGCTGAGGCAGGAGAATCACTTGAACCTGGGAGGCAGAGTTTGCAGTGAGCCGAGATTGCAACACTGTACTCCAGCCTGGTGACAGAGTAAGACTCTGTCTCAAAAAAAAAAAAAAAAAAAAAAAAAAAAAAAAAAAAAAAAA